CGAACCAACCACGACGCAGCCTAACCGATCGATCCTTGGAAGCCCTCGAGAAGAGGGAGAGGCGAAAGGGGGGATAGGCAGCAGAAGGAGAAGGCACGGAGGAGCAAGAAGGAGGGCGTAGGGAATGAGGAGGGGAAGGAGGCAGGAAGGGAGGAAGGGAGGAAGGGATAAAGGAAGGAATGGAGGAAGGGAGTAAGGGAGGATGGGAGGATGGGAGGGAGCCAAGGAGAGAGGGAGGGACGGAGGGACGGAGGGGCGGAGGGACGGAGGAGGGACGGAGGAGGAGGGAGAAGGAAGAAGAGAAGGACGAAGAGTACAAGGGAAGAGGGAGGCCTCCCCGTCCCCGCTGCGCTCCCCGTCCCAGCAGCCCGTTCCCCCTCGCCTGTTCTCTGGAACCTGGTGCCTTATACCTAAGCAGGCGGGCCTAGAAGGGAGAGGACAAGGAGGAGGAGCAAGTGAACAAGGAGGATCGAGGACAAGAAGGATAAAAAGGAAGCGAAGGAGGAGGACTGCAGCAGAGCAGGCGGGCAAGGAGGAAGATGGGACGAGGACGTGCCTCGCGAGGTGAAGTGCCCGTGCTGTGTCGCGTCGCGCCACATCTGCACTCCGTCCCACATGTTGCTTCTCCTCCTCCTCCTCCCCCTCCTCTGCCTCCTCCTCCTCCTCCTCCTCCCCCTCCCCCTCCTCCTCCTCCTCCTCCTCCTCCTCCTCCTCCTCCTCCTCCTCCTCCTCCTCCTCCTCCTCCTCCTCCTCGCGTCTGCCATTGCACGACCCCCAGCACGCCAGTGGGCACGTCAAATCAGAAACTAACCCGCCAGAGGGTGCCGCACAGAAGTTCCTGATCCCCCGATTCCCCTGGGAGGCCACGGAAGCCCTGCGAGGCCCTACGGGAGGCTCGAATCTCGGCGACGAACGTGCCCCTCGTACATCTTATGGCAAAATGTAATATGTCGTATGTGTCTGCTGCCTTCCTCCTGTTCCGGCCCCGAGCCCTGGACCCTGGATATCTCCATGTCCTCGACCAGCCGATCGTAGGCCGACTCGAAGAGCGGGGCGTACTCGCGCAGCATCTTCAGCGCGAGGCACGCGAGCCGCTCGCACCCCATCGTCATGCGGAGCACCTCCCCCCCACCCTCCAGCAGCAAGATCCAAAACACAGACGTCATATAACTTGCTCGGAGGCCCGCGCGGGCCCCGGCGCCCTCGGCGCGCGGGAGGAAGGAGGACGCGGCGCGCGGCGGTTCGGCGAGACAACGAAGACCCGACAACGCAGAAGGGCTGCGAATCCAGGGGATGGGCAGGGAGGGGAGGAAAGCACAGCCTCCGCGGAGACGCAAGACGCGCGGCGCCCGCGGATCCAGAATAGAGGCCCGGCAGCAAGAGAGGGCCGGAAAGTATCGATCTTCGAGCCTCGACCTCCTCCTCCTCCTCCTCCTCCTCCTGCTTCTCCTCCTCCTCCTCCT